TAAAACGAACAAATTTCTAATTAACCCAACCTAATCCTTATAATTTGGATTGGATTACACGGGTCGCTCGGATCATCGAATTTTTTGAACACTCCTGATATATGATCAAATAGAAACTTTTAAAGCAATTCACAGCAAATTGAAGCTAAACACATAAGGACTATCATTATTTTATCATACAAAATATTATAATATATTTCAATCTTTTTTATAAAGCTCTCCTATCATACCAAGTGCTGCACAACAACACCAAACGTTGACTATACTTTTTTTTTCATTCTCGTCCCTTGGTGAAATTACTATAATACTCTCCCCCCTCTCTCTCAAATTGAATGTGAATCACACATATATACCAAATATATATTATCTATAATTTATCATATAATATATATTATCCCTAACTTTACTTTATATGTTTTTGACTATTATTCCAGCCGCCTCCAACATATGGTCTGTGACAACTGAATAAGACACATAAAATTACACGTCTAAATCAAAAGGTCCCCTAATTAAATTGTCCCCAACCAAAATTTCATGACCAAAATCAAATCTGATTCAATTTTTAAAAAGTTTAATTTGAAGCCATAACTTAATTAATCACCTGGGATTTGGGCTGTTCTTCACAGACTTCTTCCCATATTTCCTCCACTTGTAGCCATCATCCATGATCTCTTGCTCCGATTTGGTCCTAAAGGCAACCCTACACCCCACATCTTCCTTCTTCTTCTTCCCTTCGTTCCTGCAAAACGAAACGGTATTCAAACTCTTAAACTCATGGTTCGGAATTCGAATTCCAAAGTGGGTTTAGTTTTTAAAGCTAAATGGAGGCACTTGCATGGACGATGTCGCTCCTGACGATGCTACGGTACTAGATCCACTGTCGACTACGGCACAACTATTGCCACTGTCCACTCCAGTGATCTTCTCTGACGAGGCGATGCTAGGCGAGGAGGAAGCGGCTTGGTCGTCGATGTTGATGTTGTCGTCGTTGAGCATGAGGTAATCGGAGAGGTCGAAGTCGAAGAAAACAGACGGGTCGAGGATTGGGGGAAAATGAGTGTAATTAGGATTAGGGTTAGGGTTAGGATCTTGTTGAGGGAAGCTGGCCATTGGGAAAGAGAAACGGAGTTGGTGTGAAAAGAGGCAGCTGGTTGTAAGGAATGGATGAGATTTTATAATAAGAGATATTAATTAATTCTTTTTTTTCCTTTTTTTTTAGTATTTCTCTCTCTCTCTTTCATGGGCAGTTTCCTACGAAGAAGATGCTTTGAAAGTTCTTAATTGGGGACACGTGGCGGCTTTGGAGTGACTAGGTGACGTCACTGTCGTGACGTTTGGTGCACACTTTATTGTACTGTAACGGACCACTTTTCCTTTTTTTTTAGGACAATTTTCTCTTAATTGCTTTTTTTTCCTTCTTTTTTTTTGTTAAATTAACTTTATTTTGAATTTGGTACGTATCATATTTTTTTCTTATTTGTACTTAATCCTTATGAAGGGGAGATTGAAGGATGGATTAGATGGTAATATACATGCCATATTGAGCCATATACTTGAATTGACTGGTATGTATAAAAAAAAAGAAAAAAAATTCTTGCTATAGCATATTTTTTGATATCGCAAAAATCATCGGTAGATTATAGGAAAATGTTTATCCCAACGAAAGTATAAATCATCGGCGAAAGGCTGAAAATGTTGATGAAAAATGGGGTGTGGGGAAAAAGTATGGTTTTTTCATCGTTTCATCGTTTTTGCTCGTTAACGATGGTTCTTCGACGCTTTTCTTCGCTATTTCTTTGCCAATTTTAGCTACACAACTAAGATTCTTGAGGTATATATGTTAAGTATTTTAATTGTATTTTTTTAAGTTATTTTTTATTCGGTTATTCTTGGAAAAGTTTAGACACTTTAGCTGCATAACATAGAGAATTGTTCTTTCACTTCTTATGAGGATTTCTCTCAAAAAAAATTCTTTCATTCTTAACAAAATCAAGCTATTTCACTTCATTCTTGGTATATACTTGGTATGTAGCCCTAAATTTATACTTGGTTGGAAACATAGGAGAAATTTTTGGTAACCCTAATTTTTTTGTTTCAAATTAAATGACASGGTACTTCTGTTATAGTTAAGAACTTTTACGGTTGTTTGGAGTCAGKTTAAGATGTTTAGGTTGAAGTTAAGTACTTTTTGAATAGTTTGAGGTGAGTTTGGGATGAGTTAAAAGCACTTGAAATTTGCACGCTAAACACTTTCGACGTGAATTGGGCACTAAACTTGTATTAAATTCATGTTTTAGAGATTATTTAAGAGTACTAAAACAAATTAAACTTATTTACATTACTTTTAAATTCTAAATGAATATATATTTTTTACAATAATTTTAATATTTAATTTGTTCTAGTGCGATGTGATTGTGAACTTTAGGATATGTAGGTGAAAATTTCTTGGTCAAGGAGGGAGGCTCAGGCTCATGGTGATTTGATTGCTATCCTCCAACAAAGATGACCATTTTTTTTTCTTTACTTTTTGCTCAAGTGTTCTACTCTTTTCTTTCATTTTGTATCTTCCTTATGTGTGAGAATTATTGGGKTTTTTTTCTTTCAATTTATATATTTCATTTGCTCTAGTTGTGATGAGATTAATTATGAAATTAAATTATGTTATTCTATTAAATTTTTGTTTCATGATTTTCTGGCTAATTGTTTGTCAATCTTTTTAAAATAGACTTATTTTGATCTACAATGACAACTACACAAGATGGTCCCTTCTAACTAGATATGGATTATTTATTTAATGTTATAAAATCATACTGTAGTTTACATGTTTGGTTGTATGCTATATTTTATTTTACTTTTAATTATAAGCTTGTATGGCTATCTAGCAGTTATGATAATCCAAATTTGGGTTTAGAAATTATTGATTTAGTGTGACTATTTGCAGTTATGGTAGCCATACTAATTATGGAGATGTTTTTTTTCTTTTTTCTAGTAGAACATGTGGGATGGGGATTCAAACTCATAACCTTTTGGTTAGAGATAGGTGCCTTAACCATTTGAGTTATGCTCGGTTTGRCACTAATTGTGGACACTTAGTTTAGGTGAGTTATTAGGACACSGTTTTTTAATGGTTAATTTGGATAAGTTTGATGGGATTTGAAGTGAGATTAAATAAGGTCAGGCACTTTTCTTTTAAGGGTTAGTTTAAGTGAGTTTGTGGAATGTAAAGTGTGCTTGAATGAGTTCGTAGTATTTGGAGTGAGTACGTTAGACACGTTTGTTTTGACTTAATCTAATGATTAGTTTTTGTGAGTGGTAAGATATTAAGGATTTGTTTGATTAGAAACTCGGATTTTGTTTTTTTTTTAATTCTTAAAACAAATTTTTTATCTTTTCAGTGTTTTCAAATTTAGAATTTGAAATTTTAAGACGCAGAATTACATTAAAAATGATAAAAAAAACTTTGATAAAATATATTACTTCATATTATAAAGTCATTTTATGTTTGTTAAAATTAAAACGTGTAAAATATAATGTATTCTAAATTATATAACCTTGTAAAATAATGATTATACAAAATTCATAAAAAAATGTTAATAAATTAATTAATATAAGTTTAGATTAAACTAAAATTTAGCTTGTATACTTCTAGTTTACAAATATATTGCTAAACATACCTTGAACAATTTTTTAAATTGAGATTCAATTACCAAATCTGCTACCAAATACATATCTGAAAACACTCAAAACAAATAATACGACTCTGGTTTTCATTGAATCCCTTGTTTTCAAATTTATGTTTTTTGATTACCAACCAAACGCACCGTAAGTGTGCTTGGGTGAATTTTTGGGATTTTGAGTGAGTTAGACACGTTTGTCTTGACTTTTAAAGGTTAATTTAGTGAGTTTATGAGATGTGAAGTGAGTTAGACATTTTTTTTAAGCTTTTAAGTAGTTTGGGTAAGTTTGTGACACATTTGGAGTGTGTGGGTGATAAGCTGCAAAATGTAGGAGAAATATACATAGAAAACTGAAAGGAAACACAAAATTAAAAATTCGAACCCAACGTAGCGTTGTTTCCTTAAGACAATTTTGTTCCCTCTACGGTGCTCAAGGTTTCATGAACAATTGTCTCCCAGGATAGGACRGATATACCAACTTGTGAATGCAGCACTTCACTCACAGGACACAACGAACCCTTAGTATTTAAATACTCGTATAAAGAGGAAAAGAGAGAAATTTGAGGGATGATTTTCTGTGTTGCAAAACTGAGAAGAATCACGTATTTATAGACTATTTGTGGCCTTCAAATAGTCATATCTTTTCATATAAAGTTACGTTTTTTGATAAAAGGACATAACCTTTACAAAATACGTACCAGTTCATGAAAAGTTGTGTTTCTTCAATTTTAACAAAAATAATTTTATTCAAAAAATTCCAACAATCCCCCACATGAATAAAATTTATTTTTTAAAAACGTGTACGATTACTCATGAAGAATAACTACATCAGGATAAGTAGTCTAAGACTTTGAACTTTCCTTAGTAAAACTATGGAGTTTACATAGCGGATCAGTAGTTAAAGAACTTTGAACTGTCAACTTTTGAAGAGTAAAGCAAGTCCATAATAATTACATAGATATTCTTCGAAATACTAGTGGTTCTCATGTTTGTATTCATTTTGGCCCTGAATACCGCCTGGTTTCATGAGTGTTTAGAGAATTCAGCCTTGAAAATTCTCATAGAAGCGGCCCCTTCACATCCACATGGGTGACTTCTTTAAAGAGTATCCTGGCAATACCCCACTCTTATAAAAGAGTTAAAGAGTCATTAAAAGCATATCTTAACCTCATCCGTTTCCAGGTTAGCACTAATTTTTATAATAGGAACGGTTAGGAATCTATCATTCCTTTTCTTAGTGCTCCTCTGAGTTGTATACATAAATTTGTTGTCCCTTTTGAACCTAGATCTTGGGATCTCCAGTCAGCTAGGTTGGGTTACCAWTATGTTAACTCTTATATTATAGGCTTCAATCTCATTCCTATTGAAGACAATTTCACTTGCTCTCTTGCCAAAGCTTTCATAAGCGGATCCGCAATATTATCCTTTGATTTCACATAATCAATTGATATAGTTCCATTAGAGAGCAATTGTCTTATGGTATTATGTCGTCGACGTATATGTCGAGACTTACCATTATACATTAAGAGTTGCAGTACTTGAATTCATATTACATTGAATATGATCCACCTTTGGATTTTGAATCATTTATATCAAAGATCCAATTTTCATCACTTTATCCTCCAAGTATGAGTGCAACTTGTCATTTTGGATATTTAAATATATATATCATCATCACTTCTCAATAATCTTTTCCAAGATTATTTGCAAATCTTCTAAATTTACTCATTGCATATGCTATGTCCAACAGTGAGCAATTTGTAAGATCCATTAGACTGTCAAACACACACAATACTTCAATTGTGAAATACTACCACCAATGTCTTTTAGATAAATGAAGGTTTACAATCAATGACAAGCTTTTTAGACTTAATTAAGAGTGCTTTTCATTTTTGCAAGGCACCCCCACCATTTCAAATATTTATATGAAGTGATCGTTCCACAACTTCATATGATACTGCCTTCTACTCTTCTCATAAACTGTATGTGCATACTTTAAAGTATATCATTCATAACAAGAATGTACCAATTGCAAAAGCAATTTGGATATTTAACTATATATCCAGTTCAGGCATTTAACCATACCGATAAACTTTCCATATAAAATATGAAACYACTATAGAGTAATTACTCAGTATGTAATTACATCCACACTCATTCACAAGAATGAAACCACAACTCTCATGAATCAATAAACTCGAGATGTGTAGACAATATATCCAATGTCGAACCATGCGATATATACCAATACCATCAAAGTATATATATATTTACATATTGTCAACACAAAATATGGAATAACCCCACTAAATCACAATATTTACAAATCTCAATTTTAAGACACTAGATTCAAGATACAAATTTGAGTGGCTTTTAGACAAACACACTTGTGTTATGTGATTCATACTCAATAGAGTATTAAACATAACTAACACACAATAACTTATGCATAAAATTGTTCA